TGGATGGCGTTTGATAGATGATCTTGTCCATGGTATTTACATTTAAATGCTTTGTTTCTTTTTTTAATTTATTTTTTTTAAAATTAATTTATATTGCAAACTTTCAATTAATATTTGATTTTTTACTATTAATTCGTAGTTTTTTTAAAAAAATTATTATTCTGTCAAATTTTGTATCTATCTTTTATGTTCTATTTTCTGTCCCTTAAAAAGAAATCTTTTTTTGGGTACTTGTCAACAATTGTTAAATTATTGATTGTGTTTATGGGAGAAAACAGGATTCACAGAAATAAAAAATAGGGGGATGAATTCTTTGCTGAAAAGGAAAGGAACCGGTAATCAATGAAGTAAAGGGAGACTTGACCCCTGTTTTTTCTGGATGGTGTTTGATAGGTGATCATCCATGGTTTACATTTAAAAGCTTCCGTCCTTTTTTTTAATTTATTAATTTCTTTTACAAACTTCAAATAATAATTGATTTTTTATTATTGACCTCATAGTTCTTTTTTTTTTTAAAATAAAAATTATTATTATGTCAAATTTTTTTTTTCTCTCTTTTATTCTATTTTCTGTACCGTAAGAGAAATTTTTTTTTTAGATAATTATCAACAATTGTTGAATGGTTGATTTTTTGTTTATGGGGTAAAATGGAAGGATTCACCAAAATTAAAAATAGAGAGATGAATTTTTTGATGAAAAGGAAAGAAACAGGTAGTCGAGGAAGCAAAGGTTGACCGACTTGACACCCCCTCTTGTGGTTTTTGAATGACATTGGATAGATAGTCATCCATGGTATTTACATTTAATAGCTTCTTTTGTTTTTAAATTTATTTATTTTTTTTTATTAATTTGTATTATAAACTTTTAAATAATATTTGATTTTTTATTATTGATGTCTTATTTTTTTTTAAATGATATTCTTGTTAAAAATATAAATATAAACAGCTTTTTTCTTTTCTCATTATCATTCTATTCATATTTTATTTTTAAATATCAAACTTTTTATTAAGCGTAGGTGGCGTCACAAAGACGCACTTCAGCTTGTCTATAAAAGCGCAAGACTTTCAGAAATTTCTACTTCTCTCTTACTCTCTCCACTTTCGCTTGGTCCAGGTACACTTCTTTCGACCATTGATTACATATTTTGAAAGTTTTTCGTTTTACGTATGTTCAATTTTTTCATATCCAGTTAATGCAATTTATAGTTTCATTTGGGTTAAGATCACTTGTTTTGATATTTCAAGTGATTTATTTGTGAATAGAAAGTTGTTATTAATTGTATAAATGTCCGGAGATTTCTATTTAGAGATGCCTTTGTTTGGTGGCGCAATTTGTAGTAGCTTCCCTCATAGGTTTCATGTTAGGTTAAGATTATTGACCTCGTAATTATTTTTTTGTAGAATATAAATTTTATTCTGTCAAATTTCTCTCTCTCTCTCTCGATCCATTTTCTGTCCCTTAAAAAGTTTTTTTTTTTGTGTTCTTACCAACAATGTTTGAATGATTGATTTTGTGCTTATGGGGGAAAACATAAGGATTCACCCAAATGAAAAATAGTGTGATGAATTTTTTTATGGAAAAGAAAGAAACAGGTAATCAAGACTTTGACCCCTTGTGGTTTTTGGATGCGTTTGATAGATGATTGTCCTTGGTATTTACATTTAAATGCTTCCTTCCTTTTTTTTTAATTTATTTATTTTGTTTTATTAATTGCTATTGCAAACTTTCAAATAATATCAGATTTTTTACTATTTTTTTCGTAGGTTTTTATTTAAAATTGTT